AACGTGGGTACAAGATATATCGATGCTCTCTCTGTTTAATCATTGTTTTGTTCGCTGCTGGAACGGGGAAGGAACGGGAACTAGGCAACTGCCGCACTTCTCAGATTTTATTTTGAAGTCACTGTTTGTTACTTCTGATAAGAAGGGATGCTCACCTGCAAGAAATATTAATAAACGTCTATGATTGCAGCTCAAAGGCAACACTAACCAAAACCCCTTGCTCCTATAGCCTGGAGATCCAGAAATCTACCGACTCATTCAGCATAATCCACGGAAAATATACCTGTCCAGGCATAACTCACCATACTTGACTAAACAACTAAAACTCGTGTGCCAGCTGCGACCGTACTTCGTGAAGCCCAATTTGACCACAGTGGTCCATGCCTTAGTTACCTCTAGATTGGACTACTGCAATGCATTCTACGTGGTGCTGCCCTTGAAGACGGCAACTGGTCCAACCATCAGCAGCCAGATTGTTAACTGGTGCGAATTACAGGGAGCAGTCCACCCCCCTGTTTAAGGAGCTCCACTGGCTGCTGTTTGTTTTCTGAGTCCAATTCAAGGTGCAGCTTATCACCTACAAAGCCCTGAATAGTTTGGGACCCGCCTACCTTTGCGACCACATTTCCTTCTATGAACCTGCATGACTCCTTCGATCTTCTGGGGAGGCCTTCCTCTTGCTTCCCCCACCATCACAAGTGCGACTTGTGGGGACAAGGGAAAGGGCCTTCTCTGTGGTGGCCCCCCAGCTTTGGAACTCGTTACCCAGAGAAATTAGGCAAGCACCCACCCTGGTAGCCTTCAGGAAGAGCCTAAAAACCTGGCTTTTCTGGTGTGCCTTTGAGGAATAAATGCAAATCCCCATTCCACAACCAGCTCAGTACAATATGCCCCTTGATGCACTTTATCCCATCCTTTAGTGAAACTCACCCCCTTGCTTGTCCCATCTGAGATCTCCCACCAGACACACTGCCTTATTCCTCCTACTCACCTAGGGTTTTTATATTTTACATTTTTAACACAACCTGCCCACTATGCTCACCTTATTTTCATTTCCTGTGTTTGCCTCTGTTTTAATTTTGCTGTTTATTTTTATTTTATGTTATTCTTATTTGAGGTTATTATTTGCTGTGTATTTGATTTTGATCTGTTGTAATTTGTTGTGCTTGGCCTCATATTAGCTGCCCCGAGTCCCCTTTGGGGAAGATGGTGGCAGGGTGTAAATGGGGAGATCGTGGCGGGTTATAAATAAAGTTTATTATACTACTAGTCGTCCCCTGCTATGCGTTGCTGTGGCCCAGTCTCTGTATATGTGTTTTGGGTGTGTATGAGTGTGTGTATGTTTTTGTATATGTGTATATATGTATGTTTGTGTATATATGTGGTTTTGCGCATGCGTTGTAATGTAATTTTTGTTTTTTGGCTTTTTAAGTCCATTCTGCTGTGTTTTTCAGAGTTTTTATGAGTGATGGTCACTCATTGGCCCGATAGGTATATTGCATCCAAATTTGGTGTCAATTTGTCCAGTGGTTTTTGAGTTATGTTAATCCCACAAATGAACATTGCATTTTTATTTATATAGATTATTATTAAACAATGAACTGCTTTCCTCACATGAAAAGAGACAAGTTCAAGGAAAGGATGTGGAAGCTCTTCCATCGTGAGAAAGGATATGAAGGAAGAAGTACGGCTGAGGACTCCCTTCCATGTTTTAAGAACCATGGATAATACCTAGATAAGAGTACCATCTTAAACTCTCTTTAGATGTTTCCCAGGATGGTATCCAAGACTCACACACAAACAGCATCCATAAAACTCTACAGCAGTAGTTCTAAACCTGTAGATCCCCAGAAATTTTGGACTTCAACTCCAAGAAATCCTAACAGCTGGTAAATTGGTTGGGATTTCTTGAAGTTGTAGGCCAAGAGAGGTTGAGAACCACTGCTCTACAGGGAATAGCTAGCCCTTTCAGACTTGCCTCCTTCTCCCCACAGCTGGAACTTAAGATTAGGGTTTTTTTTTTTTTTCATAAAAACCAGAAGTATTTTTTTTTCCTTGGCTAAAAATGGAGGAAACAGAAGACTGCATGCCATGCATGGACTTCAATTAGCCTATTCCTGTATTAAAGAAGTCCCAAACTATGTAAGAGGTTTGAGTTCAAGCATCATGATTCCATGTCTTAATCCACACAGAAATCAATCAAAGGCAGCAAAACCCAACCATATCAGACTCTTATCCCCCAAGGAACCAGGAACTTGATTCCATAAATAAAGTTGGAAAGCTGGGCTTTTCATTTTCCTGGTTTGCCATAAATTGTCCAAGAGTCTTTCACCCTGCATATGGCTGCTTCTTCTCTCCCTGTCTGACCACAGTTTAAAACCTTTCCTTTTCCCATGTGACACAACAGCATCAAACTATTTTTCAACCATCCAGTAAATCGATTCTTTCCACTGCTGTAAGAATAATACCAAAAAAAATCTCATGTTGCCATTTTTAAAAAGAAAGCAAAGAAAGACAGAACAGAAAGGCTCCAGGAAGCATCTGATCTCAAACTAGAACGACATACACTAATGTTTGTGTAGTTTCAAGTTTGGATTCAAACAAGCAGAATAAATCTTTTACTACATAATTCATTGCAAAAGAGAAGGATCGTTTCACATAACACATGTAACGAGAACTGTAGACAAAAACTAGAGCTACTCAAAATAGTGGTTTCTGGACCAGTGCCCACTCCAGAGCCACTGGCTGTTGGACCCTGGCAAATTTCCATGAAAGGAAGAAACAACTCTACCCAATGCGCATAAATATTTTTGACTAATTGAAATAAAATAATTGCTAGTCTCCGACTTCAGGACAGCCTGAAAAGCACTGCTCAAAGCCTATCACAATTACAAAAGGAGTGGGTAGGCATGAGGATGTAATGTATGCATAAAACCAGGAGGAAAAAAACAGCCTTGCCTATAAGTCTATTTTAATGAATATCTTTTTTAATATTTTAAAGTAATTTGCATCTCATCGCTCATTTTAATTTGTAAGATGTCTTAAATCCAGCTTTGGAGAAAAGGCAGGGTGGTAAAAACAACCCTTCTTCTGGGTTGTTGTAGGATTCTCGAGCTGAATGGCCATGTTCTAGAAGCATTCTCTCCTGATGTTTCGCCTGTTGTGAGGTCCTCTGAGGATGCCTGCCATAGGTGCAGGTGAAATGTCCAAAGAGAATGCTTTCAGAACATGGCCATACAGCCCGAAAAACTGACAACAACCCAGTGATTCCAGCCATGAAAGCCTTCGATAATACAGCTCCTCTTCTTCCTCCTTCTTCCACCTCCTCCTTTTTTTAACTCATCCTTTCACACTTGCACCTGATGTTGGAGGACTATGAAGAAAAGCAATCTTGGAAGGATCTGCTATGGAGAATATTTGGAGGAATTTGACAACATGGCTCTTCAAACAGGCCTTTGACCTTGTTTAGGAATCTTTACTTATACTTGAGGACATAGTGATCATTTACAATTGCACTTTATGGGACCGATATTGATTGCAGTTGTTTTATATCTACAGCTATGTTTGCATTTTATTGATTTTTAACTATTAGGATTTGATGATGTTATGCTGTTTGTCATTGCTACTATGCTATTGTTTCTGTATTTCTTGCATTTTGTGTGTTTGCACTATCGAGTGCTTTTGTGAGCCACCCCGAGTCCCCTTGGGGAGATGGTGGCAGGATATAAATAAAGTTTATTATTATTTATTATTATCATAGCTGAAAAAGGGGTCACTGAATGCCCAACAACATCTATGCAATCTATCTGAACATACAATTGTATGTCTTTTGCCTTGCATGTCATTATGGCAGACTGATGTTTTGACACAATCGCCCAGACATATTATGTGTAATCTGACCTGCAGAAGACGAGGAATGTTACCTATGCACCGATCTGTCTACCATAGTTCATAAAAAGGGAATGGGAACAAATAGGAATGCATATTTCCTTCCCCACACTTTTGTACATATTTCTCTTTGACTCCCTCCCACAAGCTAGTTTTAACATCATTACTAGCTATGATTAATTTCAGCTTCAGTGACTCTTCCAATTAGTTTGAGAAATGACTTTGCTAACCCTGGATATAACAGAGCGTGGTTAACCTCAATGCAAACTGGACCTCATACTATGGTAAACTAAACACAAAAAAAAAAAATTGCATGGAAGGGAAAAGAAAGAGAGCCAGTCAAAAGAGTTATATACTTCTAAAAATGCAATGAAGTCAAGATTAAGAGATCACCCCTTTTAAGTTGTATCCCCCATTCAAGTAGCTTTCCCAAGCTATGTCTGAGATGGTAGGGAAGACCACGGCCTTCCAGCTCAATGCCCCACATCCTTTATGAAGGGCTATTTTCTTACAGTTATAACACACACCATCATATTTCACATGTCTGCAATATGCAGCTGTGCTTAGCCTTTGTTGTGTTTACTAAGAAGTTGTCATACAACGTAGCTGACAGCTTTCAACTATGCTGGTTCAGATGGAAAATGTCAGCTAAAAATAAATGGATTTTAACCATGACTACTCAGATTTGAATCTGGTCAAGAGCTAATGACTTTTAGGGGACAAAGAGGCTGCCACTTCCTATCCTGGCTTTTTTTTCCATGTCAGAAGCAACTTGAGAAACTACAAGTCACTTCTGGTGTGAGAGAATTGGCCGTCCTGGCAAAGACGTTACCCAGGGGGTGCCCAATGTTTGATGTTTTGCCATCCTGTAGGAAGCTTCTCTCATGTCTCCGCATAGGAAGCCGGAGCCGAGATGGGAGATCATCCCGCTCCCCAGATTCAAACCACCAACCTGTTCGTCAGCAGTCCTGCTGGTACAAGGATTCCTGGTTGACTTTATGTTTCAGATGAAGTCTTTATTGGCCTTAAAATGGCCCTGAGGACCCAACCCAAAATATGGTGAAATTCATTTCTGCCAAAGAGGCTGTTGGGAGACCCAACTTCTGACTTACGCGGTCTTGCCTTCACTGTCGTGCTTGGTGGCGCTGGCTCCCTTTTTGCCCAACAGTGATGCCACTTTCTCCGCATCTCCATGTTCCACAGCTTGGAGCAAGCGGTCGTCATTCTTGTTCCACTCATTTGCCTGCAAAATGAGAAGAAAGAAAACATAAGAACAAAACTCATCAATGAGTGCATTTCACTTTTTCAAATGTTTCAGATCTTTTCTGTTTCGCAAATAATGCCATACTCCCTCACACTCTAGTAATTCTTCTGGGTGCATTAAGAACATGAAAGGCCTTGAATGGAGTAGAAGAAAAATAAAATTGTTGGCCACTTGTGTAAGAAGGTATCCTGGACCTCATTGGGCAAATCAAAGCCCCATCTTTGGCTATAATTATCATTCTATATGTGCAATACAAAATTAGGTGATCTACTGTTACTAGGCCTGCCTGGCTTTCTACTATTGGCACGGGCAAACTTCAGCCCTCCAGGTGTTTTGGACTTCAACTCCCACAATTCCTAACAGCCTACCGGAGTTGGCTGTTAGGAATTGCAGGAGTTGAAGTCCAAAACACCTGGAGGGCTGAAGTTTGCCCATGCCTACTCGATTGTTTCATATCGTCTTGTATTTCTTTCCCCACTCTTCTTTAATAACCAATGGACACTTATTCATAGGAGGTTACACCTACTCCATTGGGATCTTTCACTCATTTGTGGTCTTTCCCACCCATCCCTCGCACTGCTTGGCCTTTGCTCCCACCCTCCAACTCTGGCAGCTCTCTCTTCACCTGGACAGCCTTCCTGAAACCCTACAACAGTGGTTCTCAACCTGGGGTCCCCAGATGTTTTGGCCTTCAACTCCCAGAAATCCTAACAGCTGGTAAACTGGCTGGGATTTCTGGGAGTTGTAAGCCAAAACACCTGGAGATCCACAGGTCGAGAACTACTGCCCTACAACCTCCAGAGCCTTTTCTGCTTTGTGTAGAAGAGTGCGGAAGAAATAGCTGCAAACAATCATTTGGAAAGTGACTTCATACACACTCATGTCTACAACTTGCTGGCTCATGTGGGAAACAGAAAGGGTGGGAATCCATTTGCTTGAGAGTATCTTCACTCCATCAAAACCAAACAGAAAGCTAAATCGAAACTACACACACACACACACACAAATGAGTCTTTTGGTGTCTTCATTCCAATCTGGTTTGCTGTAAATAGAACGTAAAAGCAACTCTTTCGTGTCGGTAGAATTCATAAATATTGACACACGCCAGGATTTCCACTGCCATAACAGCAAACAAGACAAGGCTGTTTGAAAGCTTAGACTAACCTTTCCTGCAGAAGGGAGTTCCCTTCAGTATTAATTAACTGCACACTCGGATGCAACTGCAAGCCAAACCTATGTATTAGCTATAGGATCCAAGCCACAAACGTTGGAAAAAAAAAAAAGGAATAAGCTGCTATAGCCCAGTTGCTTACAGTTTAATCTTATTTCAGGCTCCAACTGCATGTCTAGAACAATGATTTTCAAGTGTGTTTTGGATTTGAGCTGCCAGAACTGTCAGTCAGTTTGGCCAACGCTCAGAAATTCTGGGAGTTAAAGTCCCAAAACATCCAGAAGAACCAGGTTGAGAACCTCTAGTCTAGTGGACAATTGTTTGCTGAAATTGAGACTGAAGAGGGAGATTTTTTTGGGCTATATGGCCATGCTCTAGAAGCATTCTCTCCTGACATTTCACCTGCATCTATGGCAAGCATCCTCAGAGGTTGTGAAGTTTCACAACCTCTGAGGATGCTTGCCATAGATGCAAGCAAAACGTCAGGAGAGAATGCCTCTAGAACATAGCCATATAGTCTGAAAAACTTACAACAACCCAGTGATTCCGGCCACGGAAACCTTGGACAATATACTGAAGAGGGAGAATTAGAGAGTTTTTTTAAGCCCACAATCCTGATGCATCATGGGCATTCTTGCTGGAGTATGAACAGTAGTAAAAAACCCGAAAAGCCTGGTTTCTTATTTCACTTAGAAATCTCTTTCTTTCTAAATCATCTGATTGCTCTTATTTTCTTATTTCAATCTTGCTCAATTTATTTTGGTCCCCCCCCCCCCACTAAAAGTATATGATCCACAATTGCAGGTTTTGGCAAAATACATGTTTAGTATAACCACCATATTCACAAGGATTACATTCCTGGTCTTACTGTAGAAATGCAAAATCATGTACAATAGCAAACTCTATTGATATGAATGGTTTCTGGTACAAGCATACCCTAAAATCATGCTGAAAGACCAAGAAATATCAAGAGATAAACATCTCTCAAGACAACTCTTGGTCCTTTTATGTAATTCTATGATCAAAATCGGGTGGAAACATACTGCAGAATCCCACTGGAGGACTTACAAAATGCTTAGAGAGGACATATCTTTACAGACATGAGAAAGTAAAACTTTGGCTCTGTGGATACGGAGGTGATTCTGTACTTAGAACTCAACATTAGTTTACCAGTCCTTCCATACGAAAATCCAAACTGGGTTATGTCTTAGCTTTCTTCATTACGGCAGCAAAATTATGGAAGGGAGAAATGCTGTTACAATGAAAATTAAATCTGTGCTGATTGACTACATATTACCTGAGATTTCCTTAGAGATCCGTATCTACTTCCTGCTCACCCTTGCTTAATGTCAGTTTTTGAAGGGAGCCAATCTTTATTTCCCTCTGGTTTTGATCTCCCTATTTACACAATGGATCAAGTACAATCATGTTGAACTGAAATAATTTGGAAGGCGATTACATTTTCATGCTGTCATTCTGGCTCTCTACGATCAACATTATGGTGGCTGGCTTGTTCATCTTCTCCTAAGCCAATTGCATATTTTAACATGTAAGCATATATATGGATTTTAACTGATGCATTAATTTAAATTTATGATTCTTCCCATCCATAGCATATGAAAAACCAATACTCATAATCCAGTGATAAGATTTATGCCATATCTGTAATGTCAAAGCAATCAAACACCTTTGGAGGTATGAGGCTGGGCCATGTAATTGTTCAAATATATTTGTTCAACGAATTGTTCATGTACCAAATTATGGCCAAGTAACACTGCATTTAGGTTTACAATATTTCTACATATTTCATATTCCAAAGTACTTCCTATGATTCAAGGAAAAAATATCTTTATTAACTAGAGAAATCTGAACAACCTTCACAACGCTCGGTAATGATGGTTGACAATTAATAGATGTGAAATTTAAATCTAGAGTATAAAAATGAGAACCGATAAAATGTCAAGGTGTTGCACTCCAGACCTAGAAAAACCTATGACCACCACACCATATACGAGTCCAGGAATATATGCAAACAGTTTATTGTAAAACACATAAAAACATATAAAAAAGTAGGATTAAGAAATAAAGATATATAATCCTAAAAGATTTGGCAACAGGTGATAACCAATGAGTAATCCAAATGTCTCATAAAGTTCCAGAGGTGACAAAGTCCAGGAATAGCCAGAAATCAAAGGTACAGTGTAAGTCCATAAGCAAGAAGGTAAAACTAGTAAAAACTTGTAGAGGAGTACATGAACAGGAACATAGAAAACTTCCAAGATATTAAAATCCAAAACCAAGGCTTGACTTGAACCAAGAACAAGACAACCCTGGCTTAGCTTCTCATTCTAATGCAGTGTTGCCTGAACTAATCTTAAGGTAAACAACTTGTTGTTTAATAGACACTCATGAAAGCATTACATTTCCCATGAATTTTCTCCCCAACTTTCCAATGTAATCTCTCAGAGTGGTGTAATCTATTTTTGCCTCTGATTTGTAAACAAAGACTTTTGTTGATCTCTGTAGCTACAGGTGGTTTCTCCTGGGAACCCTACTTATCACTCAGCTCTTCACTTGATTCCTTATCTGCTGTTGCTACTTCTGGACCTGCACTTTCCAAACCAGTTTTCTCACTGAAAGAAACATCTTTTCCCAGACCTGAATTTCCCAGACTTGAGAGCGCATCACTTTGTGCCACAGGAAAGCCCACAATGCACTATAAATCAACAGTGAAATCATCAGCCTCTGGCTGATCTACAACACAAGGTCTCGTCACAAAAAAGGAAACACAAACCTCAGCTATTGCTATTTTACATCACAGCTAAACTGATGTTTTACAGCAATTTATCAATGGACTTTGCTTCCTTCAATATGAGTGGAATTTGGGAGCAAAAACAATGTTGCAATGCTATCCGAAACAGCAATGATATACATTCCAGACATTCTTCAACTCCAGTATTATGTACTTTTTAAAATATGCATTCGTGGGAGAAATGGATTATTGTATGTAAATTTCAGTACGTCTGTGGCACTAATCTTGGGATTAAGAATCTATAATGCTGAATAGTTTTTTCATACTATTATTGCATAGAAAGCTGACTAGGGAAAAATAGGAATGGGTTCCTACACCACAAAACAAAGATTATGTTTATGTGTTTCAGCAAACATTTTCTTGAAAAATAACATTACACACAAACAAAATGAAGCAAGCAGGTAATTCCTTGTATAAACAAATAAACACATTTTGGATCTTATAGATGCCATTTGAAAGTTTCTTCCAAAATGGATTCTGGAATTATTTTTGTCTCTTTAATCAGCCTCTATTTTTCTCATGATTTCCATTTTGATGGCAAAATGTATAGTTTTATGATTTTCTTAAAAATGCCAGTGATAGCTGGTGTTGGCACCCTGTTTCCCCCTTTTCTTTCTAGTTTGCTGTTCACACATTTATAGTTAAGTGATTCTGGAGGGAGATGTTTACCTTGAATGTTGTATGTAAACAGACACATCTACAGTAACATTCCCATTACTTTCCAGGCCAAACTTTATTGTATTGCTGTTGCAATCCAACAATGAAACCTGACGTTTTCCAGCCCTTCTTTTCATCCACCAAATCCCAAAGTTGTAAAAAAAATCTAGCTAGACAGAAGTCAAGAAAAGGAATTGGACTGGGCTCTCATAGAAAGACTTTTTTTTAAAAAAGGACCTTCTTTGCCGGATGATTGTTAACTGAGGTATATCATGTATGTTAACTTTCTTATAGGTTGTGTTTATCTTGTGAATGTGAATTTACTGTGTATGTCATAAA